GAGTCCCGCATCGGGCTCCCTGCTCAGCAGGGAGTCTGCTTCTCCCTCTGACCCTCCCCCCTCTCATGTGCTCTCTCTCTCTCAAATAAATAAATAAAAAATCTTTAAAAAAAAAAAAAGTTCCAAAAGGGAAAATTATTTCCTACATGTTTATGTCCCTAGGGTCACTCATCTTGTGAGTTGCAAAAATAGTTTCTTCTTTTTCTTTTATATGACCAAGATAAAGGAAGGTACTTTGGTTTATGCAGTAATTGGATTACTGGAAATGTGGATCTAAATAAAATTTTTAATTGATTGCCTTTTAAAAAGCACAAGGAACACTGCCATTTTTTAAAGTTCAATGGTAAAATAAATAAATAAATAAATAGTCCAATGGTAATACATTTCATAAACATTTATAATATTACACTGCTCTAATGTAGTTTTTTTATTGTTTCCATATTTAACACACAGCACATTTTCTTAATGACAAATGTACAGTTTTAAAAAAACACAATCTACTTATATTTTAAATTTAGTTGGAGAAGGTTTCCTTTAAAAAATATTTTGTAAAATCTGTAAATTAACCACACATTAGGAAAAGACAGGGCCATTCGATAATTTACAAACCACACAACTATAGAAGATAAATATGAAAGCACAACACTTCTAGATCATTTTCATCTCCTTAAAATAATGTATGTCCTTTTGCTTAAGGTTATTCTCAAGTCAAAGGAAAGAAGAATTAAAACCAAGGTCAACAAAAGCTCCTAAACCATACCAACTTTGGCATGTGGAGTACAATATTAATACTAGCCAAAACAATTTACAGTAAAGCCTTCTCCACACGTTATTTCTTTGAGGCAGATGGAAACAAATACTTTACCAATAATTTTATTTTATATCTGGGATATTTTGCCTGAGGTTGTACAGAGAGTATTCAGAGACACTATAGAGACCTAGGTATCTTGTTCATTCCTGTATCTATACAATTTTATAGATCGTCTTTCAGTAGGATTGCCAGATAAAATACAGGACAAAATACTGCATGGAACATACTTACACTACAATATTACTCATTGTTTATCTGAAATTAAAATTTAAGTGGGCATCCTATATTTTTATTTGCTAAATCTGGCAACACTATCATTCAGTTTGTCTGTTTTAGAAAATACCAAATTCACTGCCAGGAAGAGACTTAATCTCATGAAAGTAGAGTAATTCTTTCTTTACCTTTTAGGAACTTCTTGAGAACCAAACCACCATAAATGCTTCCTGCAGAAGCAACTGTAAGAAACAGAACACAAAGAAATATCACAAACAATTAAACAGATTTTATCTAAAGAATCTAATGGAAGCCTAAAAACACTATTTATAGATACAAAACATAAAAAAGGTGACCACTCTGTAATGAGTTTACTAAAAATGGAGGCATCAAAGAAGCATTATGAGCCTACAACAACTCTCTGGCAGCAGATAACTTCTTGGAGATGAGAACTAAATGGCAAGTCTTTTCACCTACATCCAATACCAGGACTACTTCTTTAGGTATTACTATTCCTGAGAGAAAAGGATTATAGGAAGACTGCAAACTGTAGCAAGTAATCAGAATATATTATGCCAATAACCCATATTCCAGTATAAGATTCAATTAAAAATTTTGGCCCTTCTTTTAAACAATTTACTCTCTAGTAGAAAATATTAGACTATCAGGTAAGAATTCTTCATATCTAGAGTTCTAACTCTGAACATCAGAACATTTAGACCAACAATATTTTTCTTAAAAATTTTTTTAAGTAAACTCTACCCCCAACGTGGGGCTCAAACTCACAACCCTGAGATCAAGAGTCACATGCTCAACTGAGCCAGCCAGGTGCCCCTAGAGCAATGATTCTTCAGGGAAAGACGGTGAGGAAGGAAGCAGGCACCTAAGAGGGAAAAAAGATCAGAACCACCTGGAGACTTTTTCTAAATTGAACATCTCTCCCCCAGAGGGTTAACCCACAGTTAAGAATCTAAGAATCACTGCCATAGGAACCAGTGAAAATGTGTCTCTCTCTCTCTAGAAATGTGTATTCCTCAGGCAGGGGGAAAAGGTTGAGAATAACTGAACTACAGTGAGAGGCAACACCATTCTCTAAATGTGTGCTGTCCAAATACAGTAGCCACTAGATACATGTGGCTATTTAAATTTAAATTTAGCTAAATTAAATTAAATTAAAAATAAGACTCCTCAGTCACACTAACCATATTTCAAGTGGTCATTAGCCAAGTGTGGGTAACGGCTACTGTACTGAACAGCACAGATAGAGAACATTTCTATCATCACAAAAAGTTCTACTGAAATGCAATGAGAGCAGGGCTTTACATTTCCAGATTTTGAATGATTCTAGACAAATGGTATTTCAAAAGGCCTGAGCCCAAGTAACACAGAATATTCAATAAAAGACAATCATCTTGGGTGACTGGGTGGTTCAGTCAGTTAAGTGTCTGCCTTCAGCTCAGGTCATGATCCCAGGATCCTGGGATGCAGCCCCACATGAGCTTGCTTCTCCCTCTCCCTCTGCCGCTCCCCATGTTTGTGCTCTGTCAAATAAATAAATAAAGTCTTAAAAAAAAGACAATCATCTTTTTCTTAACATTCCTCACAGGCATACACTGGTTCTAACTTAAGGAGAGTGGGTCACTGGGACAGGGATGGCAGGTGGTAGCAGGCCTACACTAGTGATTAGTGAGGAATTGAACATTAATAAGAAAAAAAATACAACCTATATATCTCACAGTGTGTCCATGATGTTTCTCAATTGTGTATGTCACACTGTTTCCTCATACATCCTTTTTTAATTTTAACAAGTACCATATCAACAATTGTTGAGGGGCGCCTGGGTGGCTCAATCATTAGGCATCTGCCTTTGGCTCGGGTCATGATCCCAGGGTCCTGGGATCAAGCCCCGCATTGGGCTCCCTGCTCAGCGGGAAGCCTGCTTCTCCCTCTCCCACTCCCTCTGCTTCTGTTCCTGCTCTCACTATCTCTCTCTCTGTCAAATAAATGAAAAAAATCTTTAAAAAAACAAAACAATTGTTGAAAATGGGTCACTTTTGGTGAACATACTCAGCAATTATCCTGCCTGCTCCACACCTCTTCCAGCCCCCAATTTTTAGCTATACTTCTAATGTCTCTGTACTAAAGTAATAAAGTGCTATCCTTCAAACACAAAGATAACAGTAGAGACTTATTGTAAAACATTATTTTTAAAGCAACAGCATTCCCCAAAATTCCCTCTAAAGAACAGAAGATGATATTTAAAAAAAAAAAAGGAGGGGGGGCGCCTGGGTGGCTCAGTTGTTAAGCGTCTGCCTTCGGCTCAGGTTATGATCCCAGGGTCCTGGG